ACACTCAGTGCTTACTTTTGCCACTTTTAAGAGCTTAAAATGTTAGTACCACCCACCTACATTATGTCGTTTTATTTCCTCCAAGCGGGACATTTATTATCTCTTCAAGGATGATTCCCATCGCCTCGTGGGCGATATCACCCAGGTTGGCAAGCATTAGACTAGAAAAAAAGTATAATTTCTATAATCATCACCAATTGCCAAATCTAAGACAGACATCGGGCGATCATTGTTCTCTATTCATTCCTTTGCTTGGTTGCTCTAAAATAAATCGACATTATTCTGAGAATTTATCGTCTCTCTTCCCTCCCCCTCCCCTCCATTTGTTTAGGCTCTCCAATCAGGTTGCTCCCGGTCGAGGATACCGGAAATAACGAGATTTATTTTAGGATGCCTTGCTCTGGGTCATCTTCATAATCATTGGGGTCAACCCCTGCCTTGTTTGCCCCAACAATACCAATGCAAGCTAGGCACTCTAGACAATAAAAATTAAAATTAGTTTCTGTTCAAATGTCCCAGAAACTGCATTTGCCTTTTCCTCATTGTTTTTATCAAAAGAGATAAATGCTTAGAGAGAGAGAGAGAGAGAGAGAGAGAGAGAGAGAGAGAGAGAGAGAGAGAGGGGGAGAGATTTTTGCTTTGTTTTGGCCAGAACACAATGTACGGAGCGTATTGTAAAGCGCTCAGATCATTTAATATAAATGACATATTATTATTATTACCGACAAGCGGCCCACTTGGCTTCCTTCAAACACTACCCCATTTTATTTCTATACATTTTTATGTAAAATAAAATATATTGCCAACATCAACATTTTTAAAAGTAAAAGTAGATATCTCACAAAATGGGAACGTCAGTATAATCATGTTAACAGATGACACAGACAGCACGCTAATGGTGCTGGCACAGAGGAAGGGAGCATACAAAAACTAAAAGAGCAGGTGCTCTCAGCCACACGAAAAAAAAAGGTTATCTATAGATGTGGAAAATGATATTTATTATCAAGTCCATTCTTGTTATCCGCTGTGGCATGAGATTCCTGTACTTCACGGATTTAATCCTGACTTCCCTTTTCCAAATCTCTCTCTCTTTCTTTCTCTTTCTCTTTCTCTCTCTCTCTCTCTCTCTCTCTCTCTCTCTCTCTCCTCTCTCTCTTTCTTTCTCGCTCTCTCTCTCTCTCTCTCTCTCTCTCTCTCTCTCTCCCTCTCTCTCTCTCTCTCTTTCTCTCCTTCTCTATCTCGCTCTCTCTTTCTCTCTCTTCTCCTCACCTTTCTTTTTTTCTTCCAATCCACACGCATGTATACGTCTTTCTTTTGCTATCTAAGGGTGATTTTTAAAATCCCAATCAAACTCAGCACCTCGGGCCATCAGAGGAAAATAGAATCTAACGCGACACATGATGTATTTTCAACACCAGAATATCTATAAATAAACTTGAGACATTAATCACTAGGAAACCCAAACCTCATTTTTGGGGAGCATTTTTTATTGTTAAAAAAGTAAACGCCATTTTGGACACGAAAAAGATAATTTTTACTGTATACCTTTAAGTCAGCTTTTCAGATACAAGACTGTGTTAAAAAAATAATCATAAATGGACGAGAATAGAAATAGTTCAAGTGAATTTCAAATCCCAACATTCCTCGTATATTTGAGGCTAATAATCGACAGTAGCAGCCGTGGTTCAAATATCCAACAGGGCATAAAAAACCTGGATTGTTGTTTGGGAGGGGGGGGGGGATGTTCGCAGTTTTTAATGCTCTCCAGCAATGATATAACTGTGTAATTAAAAAATTGGACATCAAATTTGGACGTCCCTTGTCTTAAATAACCTTGCAAAGTCGAAAGGTGCACTAAACATAAAAGTAGTATACAGTTTTTCTTTTTTTCCTATAGCACCACAAAAGTCAACTGCCAGGGATGTGAGTACTGAACAAGTTTTGCCTAAAGAGAAGCACATCAGCACAATAGCGTTTATTTTGTTATTGGTGAAAAGCAGGACATACCAGAAAAAAAAGAGGTAAAGTACAAAAGTAAGAATTAAGAAGGAAAGATGTACCTTCCTTGATCTACTAATAATAGTAGATAATACCGTCGAAACTGCCTGTCAGTGGCGCCCTCCGACCACCCGCAAATATGAGTCTACGCATGTATACACGCAAACAAACATACAAACAAACACGTACTCACGCACACACACACACACACACACACACACACACACACACACACACACACATGCACGAACACACATTCTTTTCCCTTCTCTAGCCATGGGGGAGATAGATACCTGTGCTGGCTGCTCGCTGGTTGTAAGACGCGCGAAAACCCTCAGCACATTCTCACGTGCTCTCAGTATGCTGCCAGGCCTGGCGTCCCCTTCTGCTCGGCTTCCCGCGCCGAATGTTTCCGTTTGTACCTGTTTGCTTTCTTAACACCGCCACAAGCCCCCTCGGGAAGCCATCCACAATAAAATTATTGCTCACAGCCATTCTATTATTGGCTCACGTGTTTATGTATTTTCGCCGTTATTCATAACTCCCCATGCCTATCGTGCCTGATTTTGCTCTCCCTTTTCGATGCCCCTGATAGTAGGACACGGCAGAAGTCGACATTTAAAAGTATCGAGTTGTAGGCCTAATTATTTATGAGTAAAACGGCAACGAGTGCGTGATCGATACAGCGGGTATCAAAATAAAGCGGCGGACAATACGGATCCGATTCTTCTAAACCTGGGCCGTCTTGACTTTCATCTGGTACAGGAGTGCTGTTCCCTTTGTTTAAAGCTACAAGAGCAGCCCAAGAAGCAGATCCGAACTACTGTAGTCGTTTGTGTGAGGAAAAGGAAGGAAAGATATCAACAACATCAAAGAGTTGGGCAGGAAACGTGGCCGATCAGAGATCAGCCGGGCCTACAATTATGTTACGTCCTTCCCAGCTGGGCCAGTCTTAGGCTCTCTGTGAGAGTACAGCACCCCGGTTCTAGCTTGTGTAAGGGAGAGAGAGAGAGAGAGAGAGAG